TATTAACACTTCTGCCTGGGCTTGGTAATCCATGAACTTCTGCATAATTTTCTAGAAAATTCTTTACTACTTCAGCAACATTTTTATCAATCACCATTTTAGTTTTCCATTGAGGCATTCTTTTTATGTTTCCATGAACTCTGGGTAAAAGACCATTGTTTATCAGATGATTTCTAATATTTTCAAAGTAAGTTCTACCAATTCCTAGCATATTGAGATAAGTTTCTTTACAAAGGAGTGTATTGTGATCTCAGTGGTAGAAAGTTCTTTTATTAGATCTATTTTTCTTTTTAAGGCGTCTGCTGGTGCTTATTGATCCACCATCCATTGTTTTAAGTTGGGCCATTAAAAATATGTCTTGTTCAGACTTGGAAAGAGCTTGAAAGGATTCCCTTAATTCTGCAAAATTTTCCTTGGGAATTCTTGAAGAGCAACCACATTTACAACCTTTTTTTAAAAAATCAATGGCTTTTTGATATTCATTAGAACCATTGTATTTGTTATCTTTGTTAATACTTTTCATATACACTTATCCCTATATATATAATTTTATGTTCACTTTGTAGCTTTTTATAATTGTTTTAAAATTGAAGGAAAGTATATGAATGGAATTAAACTTAGATGAATCAATGGAATAGTTTAGGTAAATGATTTAAAAAATATGATTGTTCAGTAACCTGTGAAGAGAAATTGGAAAATTTGGTCAACTTCCCCATGAAAAATAATTATGTGCAAAAATTTCATGTTTCCTGATTTTTTATTAATATTAATAAAGATTTACATTCATCAAAAAAAATTTTTTACAATATTAAAAATCATTATTGTAAAAACATCTTTTAAAAAATTTTTACACATTTAAAAAAATGAATGCCACTTAAATTGACTACCACCTGTGCAATTGATTCAATCATTAATGCTAAATAAACAAATGATTTCAGAATAATACCTTTCATTGCAAGAGTGGAATAAAATAATTACTTTTAAATATAATTAATTATATAACTTGGTTGGATAAAAAATAAATATGACTTAGTTATTTAATCCTTCCTCATATATGTGAATGCCTCCATCCATCAAATATTCATAATAGTCATGATTATTACGCAATACATTTGATATCATCATTGACATAACAAACAATTGCATCACCCAGGTAGTAACAATACCAAGGCCATGCATAAATGAAGCTTTTAATAATGCGTGTCTACCCAAATCTCTGGGATTCACAAAATAAATTATTTTGCCTGATTATCAATTGTAGTTCTTTATGAATAATAAATCTGATGTTGATTGCAGGTGTCAGATTTAATTGAAATTTCCTATCAAAAACATGCAAATACCCTTTATAACCATAGGATTTTTTCCTATGGGTAAAGTCCATCACATGCTTGCAAATACCCTTTATAACCATAGGATTTTTTCCTATGGGTAAAGTCCATCACATGCTGGAAGGCTTTGGACAAAACTTTTACTTATCCTCCCCTCAGACCAGGCTTGGCTGTTACCATATGGGCATTGATTGCTGATGAGAGTTGACATTTGTGTGATGATTGCTTTGTGTTATACCCCTCTAGAATAAAGTCAGTGTCTGCAACTCTGCAACTTGGGAGGTTGCAACCTGGGTCATTGTTTTGGTTTTTTCCTGAATTCAGAATTTTGAGTCTTGGGTTGCTGTAATTTTTATGAAAAGAAAAGTATTAATATTTAACAATTAATTATTTAAATGTTTATTTTGTTGAAAAAAATATACATTGATAGTGTACATTTTCTGTGCTTAACATGCATGTGACCCAAAGTCTGGACAAAAGATCCCTTTCTATGAGTTTGGCTGGTATATCTCAAAGGCATTTCCTGTCTTGTCAGTGGCATGCCTACTCACCAACAACCCTACCTCATTTAAAAAAACAACAAGTTCAGTTGGTTAAAGAGAAGCAGTAAATTTGGGAAAATGATTAATTTATAACATATCAAACAAAATCCAAACCATTTTATTTTACAACTTTCTCCTTGATGCCAGTGATCATGGTGACTATCACAATAGGAGTGGGCAGAATCAAGCTGCCACCTTTATACTTGTAAGATACATGCTCTCATTGAGCTACACTCCTTTAACCTAGGGTGGGAGGTTATATGGGAAAAAGTTCCGATTTAAAAAAACAACAAATTCAGTTGGTCAACAAAAATTAAAGAAAAACAGAGTATTTATGAAAATGATTAATTTATAACATAACATACCAAAATCCAAACCATTTTATGACTTTTTCTCATTGGCCATATTGCTGACAAAGATGTATATAATCGTGTGATAATTTTAACCTACAGAACAGGGGGCTGATTGGGCAAAAACCCCATTCAATCCCCTACCCAAAATCATAAATTGGTTAGTATCAGAGAAACAGAGAATTTAGGAAAATGATTATACAAAAACACTATTTTACAACTTTCCTTTTAACATCAGAGCCCAAATGCAATTTCAGGGCCACCAACTCTGCTCTGAATTGTGACCTCCTGTGCTTGGAACGAATTGCAGATTCTCTTGATATTCCTCCAGAGTTGCAACATCTTGGTCACAGTGCCATCCTTGCCATAGAGGTGGAATCGTTGCAGGTGACTTTTTGGCTAGTGTGCCAGCAACCATCTCTGATCTGGGAAGATTAGTGAAAGTGTCATTGACGATTGGTGCAGTCTCAGTAAACTCCAGATCCATGTGCCTTCTGGAATTTGGTTACATCATCATATCTTTGGGTCGTCGGGTTAAGATTAGCCTTATGTACATGAGGAATATGTGAGAATGACTGTAAAGTGTTCAAGGTAGCATGTGTGCTTCAACGCCTGCCAATTTCTGATAATCAAACGTTGCATATCAAAATGTTTCTTTTTAAATGGTGTGCTGCCTTGACATCTTTTTGTGATTATAATAATATATAATAATAATATTATTATGGATTACGAAAAGCAAAATATTATCAATGAAAATCTTGTAATTACCCAGCAAGTCTGCTCCACATTTTGATTTCCAATTAAAATATTTATAAACTAAAATAAAAGACACCTCATACATATCAATACAAATAAAAAATAGCACCTCTGGTTAGGTATTAACACGTATTCTTTAGGAGACCCAACCCAAACCAAACAACAACACTCACATTTTGTCACCTTGGACTCTGTCAAAAAATAAATTGTTCAATTTGCATCTGTCCTACCAAAAAAAAAAACCAATAGGATAAATAATTAATGTGTATGCATCGATCAATTAATAAACTTCTTTTTCCTAAAATTAAAAATTTAAAATGCCACGTCAATCAAAAAGAAGCAGAGAGGATTATTTGGAAGAAGAAAAAGGGTAAGTGTTTTAAGGATGGCAATGGTGGTTATCGCCCACCACTCGTCGTCACTCTAGTTAACATTAAGTTAAGTTTGGATGGAAAGTCTGTGTTCATTTCATTATGAAAAACCTTGTCAATCTTGACCAAAGAATATAAATAAGGAAATTGTTTGCATAAAAAACTACAAACCTTTCTTATATATATGTATATTATCTTTAGTTTTACAAATACATCATTTTTGTTTTCGAATTTAATTGGATAGAATTAAGAGTGATTATTATTTGGTATATATACTTTAAAAAGGAAAAAAATAAGAATATTATTTATGATGGATCTTATGCTGTGATCCATTTTTTACATATTTTTTATATATATATTTTTTTTAAAATAAACGATTTTTATTTATTCCCTAAAAAAGCAATTAAAAAAAATTACTGGTCACCGCAGATCTATAGTAATAGTAAATTCGAATTTACATATAGTTGGCTCGGTCTAAAGACCTCCTAAGTTTTGCATAAATTTTAAAAGTATAGAAGTCACTTTCTGTCCTATC